TATCTTTGTGTGTGAGTCAGGAAAGCTGTGAAGCAGGTAAATAGTCCTCTTCAAGAAAAAGGTTTAGAGTAGGTAGATGAAGGCTTATTCGGATCTTGTTTGCCTTTGGAGGCTTATTGGTTAATTATGAGTTGCACTGTGGTGGGACTAGAATGGTTAATTCCCATGGGTAAGGTTCTTCTCACCCTCAAATAATACCTAATCCCCATGGTTTCTGATGCTTTCTGTTCCTAACTAAAGGATCTGAAAGTCCCATACCTTTTTGGAAGCTAATCTTGTCCTACAGAGATAATAGCTTGTCCATTTTATGCTTGTCATTTACCTTAAAATGACAAATAGGCTCTCAGGAACATGACTCCTGTTAAAGTCTACTGAAGTTATGAGAGCACCTCGGGGGAAGAATTGATTCCTTTCAGTCCCCCAAGGAAATGTGCAGTCCCATTTTCTTGTAGAGCAATCATTTTCTCCTCTTTGTAAAATGACTTCATTTTAGTTCCTAGATTGCTTTCATTAATTTTTGCACGGCCCCATAACAGTGCTCCTGTCCACCCCTGCCCTAAGCACAGGAGAAAAAAGGGGCAGGGAGCTTTGATTGCACATTAATATATGTAGTAAGCTTGTGTGAGTGTGTGCGCGCGTGCGTTTGTGTGCGTGTGAGCGATGGGAAAAGGTTGCCCAGTATATATGAAACTGCCAAAACTAGGATTTGTCACATTGCTGACTTATGGAAAGACCCAAACCTGCACTTTGGATTTTCTCTGGAGGAATCTCATTTCTAATGATGAAATGGCAGTGCAAGTCCTTGTTTGAACTCAAGAAGGGAAATCGGGTATTGTGAGTCCTCCTTCTACCTCTGCTGTGTGCAGGGTAACAGTGGGTGAGCCCTTGGCCTGCTGGTGCCCCAATATCCTCCTGTAAAATGGCAACAGTATTGCGTTTCCCTCACGGCCATTTCTGATCCTAAAGGCTAGCACGTATGCAAAGACTTGGGGACCCCTCTGGGGGCAGCAAAGCATTCACCCTCGTATGTCCCGCTGTGCCCTCAGGGAACATCGGTGGTGGCATGCTGTGAGGTGGTCTGGAGATGGACTGGGGAAGAGGACTGCTGCAGCAGTGTCTCCTCTCTCCCACTCCCCCAACCCATCGTGATAACTGCAGAGGTAGGGGCTGGATTGTAACTAATTCTCCTCCCTATTTTGCTTTTGAAAACAGTATCTGAATTTTTTGCAAATTCTCATGTTTCATCCTGGTGGACCAAAGCTTGAGGCACACCTGCACCATGAATGTACTGAGGATGGTTAGTAACTCACTTCCCCGTGGCTGTGGGTAGTAGAGACACAGCACTCAGGTTTCAGCTGGCTTTAGGAGCTGGTAGTTTCAAGCTACCCTCAGACACTGCTCAACCTGAGCAGGGAGTGCTCATCTACTAGTTATGTCTTTGACCTTCCTACGATACCAGAGAGCCCAAGGCAGCTGCCTATTTTTGTCTCCGTTTTACAAACTCATACCCTAAAGCAAGCATTTCAGCTGTTGCTGGGGAGTAACTGGGGTCCTTTGCCCGGTTGAGTTATGTGGCACAAATGGAAATAAGACAGTCTGACATTGTTGGGTTTGCTTTTTTAAAGAATGGACTTAATGAAAGATTAGGCTGCTGACAAGTTTGAGAGCACCCAACAAGATCTGAGAGCAACCCAACTTTCTGGCTTTGCTGACCAGACAAAATGGAGTTTGATGACTTTTTTATAGTAGGCAGGATAGTCTTTTAATCGGTTTATCTCTGACCAGCAAGGTGGTAATTAGGAGAATAGCTCTCCGTGTAAAGTCTAGAATATGATTTGGTTAATGTCCAGCAAGATTATCATGTACATTAGAATATGGTTATTCTGTATTTAGGTCTTTGACGCCATTATTTTCAGGTAGATGGGCCAAAAATCGTAGTGTCCAAGTATGGATTTCATTTCAGTGTTCTTTGGAGAGGATATAACGACCAGAAATGTGTTTAAAAGTAATGCTTGACAATAAGTTTCAGCTGTAGAGGGGACAAGGTTTAAGGTACAAGGCCTAAGGTACACCTGTGTTGTAGAAGCATACAGGGGTCAGCATTGCACTCTTGCTGTTGGTCCATGTCTGCTGCTCTCTCTGGGTCCGGACTAGCTCTCTGGACCTGCCCTCCAGGGGGAGGTTTTGGCTTGGATCTCCTCCCTCTGCTCAGCTGCCGCCTTCTGTGAAACATGCAGAAACTTCACATCCTCGAAACTGCCCTCTGTCCAGTTTGCTGTAGTTGGCCAACAGACTCCTTCCTTACTGGGCGTGATGTCAAATGCAGTCATCATGGTACATAAGTCTTGCTATTTAGTAAACCAGGCCAAAACATAACCAGGCCCGATCCTCTCCTAGTTTCACAGTCTAACCCCACTGAGTAGAGAACCAGACCTCTGCCTGGTCTTTGCCTCTGTCATAAACGGCTGCGGCCAAGGCATGTCCGAACGCTGGCTTTTCTTGCCAGTGACAACAAAGGTGTGTGTGTCTTATATTCTGGTTGTGCATGTGATGAAAAGCCATGTTATTATCCATCCTTAGACTCTCAGATTTCAAATAGGATTGGATGTGAGAAAGGTCATGTGCTTCCTTTCCAAAAATGCTCAAAGCCTGATCTGCTATTAAATATATGATTAGAAATATTTAAGAAGAAGAAAAAAAAAGCCAAATTGTGTATACCTTCTTGCAGCTGGAGCTGAAATAGCTGCTAAGATTTTTTTCTCCCCAACTGAGAATTGGTACAGTTTGTTATTCTTGCATATTTTCCATGGTGTTGATGATGATGTATTTGTATATTGTGACTGATGAGAGATAATCAGACAGGGAAAAAGCACGGAATTCTCTTGGCGAATTACCTGTCCTTTTTTTCCAGTCAAGACAGAATGTATGAATTTATTACAAGAAAAAAAGTGTGAAAATGAATTTTCTGTAATTAGGCCATTCTGAACTATGTAGAACCACACTTTGTTTGAAATTTATAGAAATTATAAATAGTAAAAAACCACTGTGGTTGCTGTTTCTATATGAAGTGACAAATCAAGGGAGCTTTCTTTCTATTCATAATAGGTGAATGTCAGTAAAGGCCCATCAGCACAGCTGAAAAAAATCCAGGCTTCTGTCCGTTGTATTTATGTCCAACACACGTGTGTCACAAAGGCACAAAGTGCTTTTTTTTTTTTCCCCTTTACTCATCTCCCTTGCAGTCATGTTCCTGAATCATCGGGACTCTCTTAGGAGAGCGCAGAGCTTCACAAAGACAGTTTAGAGCTGTGTGTCCTAATGCTGCAGCCCCAAGGCAAGGAAGTTGTAGGATAACAATATTAAAGTTCCCCAATGTATATCTGCATACCTTTGGCTACCAGCTGTTTATGAGGATGGGATAATTGACATAAATTCTTGCTGTGGTTCATGTAGAAGGGCAGGGAGGTAAAAACAAGGACATAGAAACACAATGCAAACACAGAAAGCAAAATAAATCATAACTAACTTCAGCTAGCATCCAGAGTTCTGGGGGCAGACTTCAGTTTGAAGCCATTTGCCTTATGATGTTACTTTGGTTTAATACTGGTATGAGAAAAGGAAGAATCAGGACCATGCCAGATGGCAGATTCTTTCCTCCCCTTCCATGAATTTATTACCTCTTTTCTACTTCCAGTTAAGGTTTTAAGGTCAAACACGATGCAGTGGCTACAGCCAGGATTCTAGCTGCACGGCAGCTCTGCTAGCCTTGACCCTCCGGGTCTGTCATGTTTCTGCACTTTCTCCTTGTATTTTTTCCTGCCCTGTGTGAGGCTTTGGAATTTTTATTTAGTGACCTGGGCATTTTTTTGCCTCCTTTGTTCGATGGTTTCGCTGTCCCCTTTGCGGGGCTGGAAGGCTGCAGGAGGGAAGCAGTGTCCAGAGCTGCCACAGCTGAAGTGGCTTCATAGCCATGGAATAGCCAGCTAAGAGCAGTCCTGGCTTCGCAGATACACAAGGAGATCTTGCAAGCGTTACAGTGCGCTGATAAAGGCTGGGCTGGGGTCTGTCTGCTTATGAAAGCAAGCTGTACCCTGGGCCCCAGCCTGGCACTTGAGCTCAGATGAGGAGCAGTCACCATTAGACCAAATACTTGGGCGTTAGGGCCTAGAGGGAGAGCGCTAAGCCAAGGCTGCCGTAGTACCTGTCGCCTTTCGGTACGCCGGGGAGCTTACCTGTAACAGCATCTCCGGCACACAGAGGCTTGCGCGGCTGCAGGGTGCCTCAGTGAGGAGCTGGTTTGAGAGCTGTGTCTTACACTAAATTTTCATGGTTTGGTATTCATCAGCAAGGCAGTTAAAAGCCTGGGTCGTGTTCTTCCGAACTCAGGGTGGGTCTTTGTTAAAGTGCTGGGGAGAGAGGGCCAGGCAAGCAGCGTGAGAATCTGGCGCTCGCAGTTAATGACTCCAAATCAGGGCAGTTGCTCCCAGTATGAGCCGGCTCTGCAGCGCCAGCTGTGCACCGCTAGACGGTGTCGGCATGCCTGCAAATATCCGGTGTGTGCTGGAAACCCCTCCCCGACCCCAGCCACGTTTTTGGGGTGCTTCCACAACTGCAGGCTGTGAGCAATGCTGTCAGGCTTTTTGGTAAATCTGCAAATCAGTGATATGAGAAGGCAATATGAATGTTCCTGTCAAATTCCTCTTGGTGCACACTGACGACCCGGTTCCCTTCTGGGCTGCACTGGTGGAAAGCAGGTATTATTCCCAGCATGCCAGAGAGACACAACTCACCTCTTGGCTGTGAAGAGGCTAATTTGGCAGAAGGGTCCCTGCTGCGCTGCAGGGAATTAATAGCTTATTAGGGTTTGTTATATGACAGAGGTTGAATTGTCAGTTCCTTAGAAACCTGGATCTAATCATTTTTGAGCCACTGATTCACAGTTTTGAGTTTCAATAGTTTAATTTCTGTGCCTGGAGATTTTCCTGTGATTCTGACTTCACCCTGCTCCTGTCTGTGTGTGGTTAGTCCAACCTGATGGACTAACCTGATGCTAACTGCATCAGCAGTGCAGCTGCTGATGTCTCCAAGGCGAGTGTATCTCTCTCTGCCAGGGAGGAGGATTTTTGCTCTGCTTTGCATTTTACAGTACTGGCCAGCGCTGACCCTCTGAGAAAGCTCCGGGACCATTCTCAGTTCTTGCAAAGACTGGGAAAACATGTTCACACATGCCAGAAGGAGGATGCATTGCTGTAAACTCCAGCCTTCTCTCTGACTCCACATAGAGTGAACTGGATGGGCACTGGATGACAGTGTGACATGCAGGACTGAAGTGACCAAAGGCTGGATCACCCCTTCCCGCTGTCAGCACTTTGCTGAGCTGTGGTGGGAGCCAGTTGCCCCATGCGCCTGGTATCATCAGTAGAGGAAGGGAGAGGTACCTCCAAAGGTGCTTTTAGGAAGACTGGCCAGCCTCTTTCCATCTGCAGTAGGTGGGACATTGGGCCTCCTAGGGCAGACAGCAGCTGGAGGGTGAAGGTGGGCCTAACGGCCAGGGATATTTTGCATTTCACCCTCCCGGAGTAGGGAAATGCCCCAGGACATGCTGGGGGACAGTGCTGTTTCTGGGAGATGCGTGGCTTTGTTCCCCGAGAAGAGCCCAGGGCTGGAAATCCAGCTCTGCAGATGGGCAGGCGTAACGTTCTCCCGGTCCAGCCCTCCGGCGCATGGCTACGCATGCTGGGACCAGCCTGTGCTCCCGTCCGGGCTTGGCATGGCTTGCAGGAGGGACATTGCATTTCAAGGGACATAAGTGGGTGGTTGCTATTTGCCTGTGAGTGTGTTTGGACACAACACTGATGCTGAGCCACCTTGGCTGAGCCACCTTGAACAAACTCAGTCCCTGGAACAGGACTAGATCAGCCAGCAAAGGCTGCCCACAGCCCTGAGGGCCATCTGAGCCCCTTTGTGGCTTTTGTTTGCTCAGCCCTGTCTGGCTTTTAGCAGGCCATGGCCAGAGATCGCACCACTCCCACGCTGTTCCTTAATGTAAAATAAAGAGTTTAGCCTTAACAAAACTAACTTTTTAAACCGCACAGGAGGAAGTACTGATTTACAGGTTTTAACACTACACTGGGCTACAGCTGCAGCCTGCACCAAGTTATCAAAACTACATGGAGGAGCATTAAGCCTTACACAGCACTTCAGAGCTTGCACCTCCGTTGCTGAGCGAGAGCCCGTCTGCCCCCGCGCTAGCCCAGCGGTCCTTTCCATTTTCACTTTCTTTTCTAACCATAATTTGTTTCCATCTGTGGTAGTTTACAGATGAGAAGCATCAGTCTCCCCCTCTCTCTCCACCTCCTTCCCACCCATGTGACCGAGCGCTCCCAGCACCGAGTGAAACTTCTCAGTCCCCAGGAAACCTTGATTTGCTTTCCACCCAGCTCCACAGTGAGAAGCAGCATCTCCTAACCCGCAGCTGTTCTGACCATGGGCAGGAGCGCAGGGCAGTACATCTTGCTAACCTTCGCCTGCGGTGAGTCACATCCTCCCTCACTTCTACCAGCAAATGAGACACATTATGCAAGGTTTTGTTTCTTTGCACTCAGATAAGGACAGCACCTAACCGATTGAAAACTTGAGAAACAGTTTTGTTGTTAGCAGTAAGGGTGCTGCTTTTAATAAAGGCCCACCAGTAAGAAGCAAAAAGCAAATATAAATATAAATGTAAATGTAAATATAAATATAAGCATATTTAATTGCAGCTGCTGTAGGCTTGGTCTGATGTTTTTCCTTATATATTCCTTTGTGCTCACTGACATGAACTCTGACTGTGTGATGGAACCAGCTCAAAACAGTATTAGAAGCAGGCTTTTTTGGTTTTGTGTTTCTTAGTAATTAAAGATAGTTCCCAGACCAGCAGAACCAACTGTAAGTCTCAAGTGAGACAAGCAGAAGGAAAACTAAAGAAAAACTATTTGAGTCAATCATTTGTTTGCACTATGAGTTGCAGAGCATGATCAGGAAAGCAAGAACAAGGCTAGGGGCTTATCTCAAAGGCAACCCTTATCAAAGTCCCCATCGGATCCTTAACATGTCTCCGGGAAAATCTGTGCGGCCAGCTTAGTTAAGGATGTGTCCCAGCATGTTAAGTCACCCCTTAACACCTGTAGCACTACAAAGTCTATGAGATGAGGAAGAACGGAGAGTCATTTAATCTGTATAATGGCTAGAGGTTTGAGCTTGATGGTGGCGCGCTAGATTTCTGCGCGGCGTTTTAGCCGTTAGCAGGCAGGGATCACGCAGGCAGCAACCCTCATCCCCCTCCAGCTCTACTGCGGCAACGCAGGGAGCGGGGAAACGGCACAGGGACTCGGTAACAAGCAGCTCCAGCACTAGGTGCTCTGCTTTCCCAGGCCCTCTAACACAGCCCCCAAATGTATACATAAAAGAGGAGCAAAATTAGCCTGAGAGAAATAACACCAATAACTCAGCGGTCAGCAAGGGTGCCTTTGGCCAGAAAGAACTTGTTTCCTAGGCATTTTATCCATTATTCATTGTTGCTTTAGTAATTTCTTGTGACATTTTGTTAAAGCTACAAAGTCAAGTCTTTCTGTGCAGGTGGGGAATTAAACACATGGAGAGTTTAAGGGAGAAGGGCCTCATGGGCTGGAGGCTCCTGCGTCTGAGGGCACCATATCAGACAGTTCAAGAATCTCTTTGAGCCAAAGCAGCCGGAGTTGGTGAGAATCTTTCCACTGATTGTAGAAGCTGGGGTGGGTTTTTATGTAATTATTGCAAAATGCAATAAAACTAAATAAGGGTATTTCCTCTGTGCAGCATAAAGCAGAACAAACCTGCCAGACTGTTGAGCCATGTGAGTGTATAGTTAGACCAGAAGGAGAAAAAAAAAATCCCCAGCAAGAGATCCTTTCCCCCAGCAGCTCCAGCACTGGGCAGAGCACCCCTGTGAAGGCTGGCAGGCTGAGGAGCTTCACAGCCAAATCAGGGCACTGAGCGTTACGCTTCCCATGGCAGCGCCTGGGAAGAGAGCAGTTACGTCCCTTGGCGGGCACGGACTCTCACTCCTGAAATCGCCCCTGTCACCAAAGCATGAAAATGCGGGTCCCAGACCCTGATTAGGGAAGGTGAACTTCTGAGAGCTGTCACAGTACTTTTCTGAGAGCTTCAAGTGTTATACGCATGGAGGCTTGCTGGGCAGAAATGCAGCCCTTTGGCTTTTGTAGCACACAAATTTGAAGCCGAGGTGAAATGGGGTGATTGCAGCTGCTTGTTCCAGGAAGATACCCTGCAGGGAGCACATGTCCCTAGAGCAAAATGTTGTTCGTATAAAGTTTTGAGTCGCTCTCACAGAAGAAAAGAGGTGGAAAGTAGCAGGAGGAGGCAGAGGCGGTAATTCTGTGTTGCCCTTTTGTCAGCAGCGGCATGAAAAGGGCTACGGCGGGTGAGCCGTGTGGCTCGCTCCTCTGCCAGGCTGCGCTGGTGCCCTGAGCGGCTCTGCTGCGAAGCTGAAGGGAGATGTGATGTGGTCTCCCGGGACTCAGGTGGAGGGTGGTGGGGGTGAAGCCTCTCAGGGGCACCGCAGAGACACCAAACTACCTCTGACAGCCACTGGAAGAGTCAAGAGCGTTCAGTGCAGCTGGACAGCAATCCTCACCCATCTCCGGGATAAAGCTCACGTGGCCAAACACCCTTTGATAAAAAGACCTAAATCAAGTGGTTTGGTAGCGTGGCAGTGCCCTGACAGCGAGGCCCCAAAATCCTGAGCCCCTGGGGAAAGCTAGGTAGGGGAGGCTGGAGGAGAGGTCTGGCAGGTTACTTGGCAAGCACAAACCACCGGCCACCCCAAAGGCATTC